GGGGAGCCGGGGCTGTGACAGCCTGGCCCCGAGGGGTGGGCAGGCCGAGCCGCCAGGGAGTCACCTTTGCCTCTGTGCCCGTTGTCAGCCCTGCTCCCGTCCGTGGCGGTGCCCCGAGGATACCGCCTTTGCCGTGGCCTTGGCCGGGGGATGGAGAGAGGGGGCTGGTATTTCACCGCTGGTTGTCCTGCTCTTGTTTGCCAGTCTAGGTTCCGAGCTGTTTTTGGTGGGTTGCTAGTCTGAAAAGGTACCTTGGAGTGTCCAGACTGATACCTCTCCTGCTATAGCTTGTCCTCTTGAACGTTTGTTCACCCCCTTTTGTGTTCAGTTGGTAAAGGCTGCAGTGTGGCACAGGTTCTTCTATGCTATATCAACATGAATCTGAGTGTGTTTTATGTATTTGATAATGTATGCCATTTACCTTGGGGTGTGTTTCAGCGTATGTCACGGATTGGGTAGATACAGCCACTGAGTTTACCCGTGAGGTCTGCAGGCGCAGTGCTCTTATCAGGATATTCTTGCACAACAGTTGAGCAAAGTTGTTCAAGTATGTTTTGCAGCTGTGCTTTAAGTAGCTTTTCTATTCTGATGCAAGACCTTTTCCACTTGGTGGAGTGCCCTGGCTTCTGATTCTGGTACTGCATGCTGCAGGGCATGATCATATTACCAACTGTGAGGAAGTGAGAAATAAGTTTGGGTTTTTCCTGTTTTTGTGTTTCTCCCCGCACCCCCCTTGCTGTGCCCATCCTTCTTCCTGAAATTTCTGTTCATCTTGTCTTGCTGATCATCAAAACGAAATTTTTCTTCACCTTTTACCTCCAGATGCATTCATAATTCTCAGCTCCACTCAGCCCTACTCTGTAATCTCCCATGCCTCGGGAGATTAAAATTGTGTGGCCTCACTAGCGTAGTTTGCAGGGCATTTCTCCTCATGGAGGGCAAAGCCCTTTGGAAAATCTTCATCAGAAATTTTTAAACCTGAAAGAAGTAATAGACAAACCTCAAATTGGTGGACTGTAACTCTTCATGCAGAGAGGTAGTGCTCTGATACAGGGTAGATGAGAGTTTAATTTTTTTTATGGCTTCCATTTCAAGAATGTCTGGAAAATCTCCAAACATATAGAAGCTTATTACAGAATTAGCTGCTCTGCCATGGAGATGTGCCAGGGGTCAGGGTGTCACAGACCAATTCAATTTTAGGAGTTAAGCAAGTTGTAATTTTGAGTGGTTTTGAGCTGAGCTGAGTTTCTGTCAAAAATGTTTCATGCATGGAGAAGTATTTGTCTTTTTTTGTTTGTATTAACACAAATGCCTAATATTTAACAGCATTGATAATAGCTGGTAAAATGCCCAGAGCTGTGAAGAAGCCATTCATGTCTTGCTGGAACGGAGACTATTGACTCTTCCTAAAGACTTGGATTTTGGTAGATGCAGAAAGTAGTCTTCTGGCTTTGCTTTATAAGCGAGGACCTGAAGAGTCTGCTGAAAGAAATGCCTCTCTGTTTAAGGTGACACATCTAGTGTGCAGACCTTTTCCAAAATAAGTTTAGAATAAATTTGTGATGTAATATTTCTGTCTCTGCCAGCATCCTGAAATAACAATTACGCCCTTGTGTAAACCATTCCTACATTCTCCTGTTGATACTTAATAAGAATATTTTGCTTAAGTTTTACGGTATGCTTTTGTTCTTAGGTAGCACAGCAGTGTCAAGGCTGCTTAGCTCTTCAGTTTGCTGTGGAATACGTTACAAAGGAGGCTGCATTTGATAATCAGAGTACTTCTTGTAATCTGCGATCTTCCTTCTGGGCTAGTTCCTTTTGCCAGTTCATATGTGTGATGTTCTGCAAGACTAGAAGCTTGAGCTTTGACCACCCTTGGTCTTGCTAAAGCGATCGTTGTTTCCTTGGTGGCTCTCTGCTCTTCCCAGTGTTTGGTGCTGTGAGGAGAGATTGCTTGAACAGCTCTTAAAATGCCAACTCAGTTTTACTAAGAAAATACAGGGTGCTATAATGATCGTTAGTATCTGGCATGGTATTACTTTCCATCTATTTTTTGATGGTCTTAAAGTGCTACTAACAGTGAGTACTTTATGTGTACGTGGCAACATTTTAAAAATCAAGAGTGCAATTTATATTAAAAAGTCACAAATTTTGGTTCTTAAAGCTGACCTCAGTTAAAACTAACCAGTCCTTTATCAAATTTGAGAATATTATCAGCTAAATATCGTTTGGGTCAGGTGCTTCTGTCCTGTATTAGATTATTTACTTTCTCATTTTGTGACAAGATTTGTCTCATGGAGAGGCAAAAGGCATTTCAGTAGCACAAGAAGCTTGATAAACTTAACTTTCTTATTGTAGCTTATATTAATAAATCCAGACACAATTTAAGGCACAGTGAAAAAGGAACACTTACAGGAAAAATTATGTGACTAGTTTATAGACTTGGCGAGTCATTTGTACTCATAACTGTGAGTGTATGTTAAAATAGAAAAAAATACTTACTTGAAGTTAGTACCGCATTCATGTATACTTCATATAACCCTTCTTGACTGAATTGCAAAAGAGTTGAGAAACCTGTAATCCTGGCAGTAAAAACACTTCAGTCACATCATACATTTCTTCTGAAGTATTCTTAGTGCTAATTATTAACTTTTTCTTTTTTCCTCCCATCCAGATCTGTAGCGGCATACCTGAAGTCAATAATGTTTTCCAAGCTAACCCGCTCTCAGAGCATTGCTGTTCTCTGTCGCGGTGTTCATACTTCACTGAGTTCTGCTGCCTCAGTTGCTACGAAAAAAACAGTTCAAGGCCCTCCATCTTCTGATTACATATTTGAACGTGAGGCTAAATATGGTGCCCACAATTATCACCCACTACCTGTTGCCCTGGAAAAAGGAAAAGGTATTTTATTTAGGTTTCCCCGGGTGGTGTAGAAGGGAAGTGTGTGTGTAGATGGGATGGGATCACGGCATAATGATTTTGACTTAATCAAGTTTTGAACTTTGGGGTTTTTTTTGGGGGGTGGGGTGGGTGGGACTGAGATAATTGATGAGATAAAGACAGCTAATTGCCTGTCAGAGAACTGGATCATTATGCGTAAGGCTGCCTGATGGAAATTGTACTCTCTCTCTAAAATGTTTTATCTAAATAGAAGTCTAAGTTCTGGTAATCTTCGTAATTCAGAATAACTCAGCAAGAAAGTTGCTTGAAACTTTGTGTCTTCTGTTACCTTGTGTGGAGAGGCTTAATGTTAATGTGAACATGAAAAGGTGCATTGGAACCCTATTTAAGTCCTTGTGTACTGCTGCTGTATTATTGCTTAATTTAAACTTACTCTGGTCTTTAATTATGTTTAAGGGGCTTTTGTGCTCTGCAGGTTAAATTCTATGTGTTTATATTGAAATGCTATCAGTGCAGGGATCCAGTAGTTTTTCTTTATCAGTACACGTTTTGACAGCTCAGAGCTGTCAGTCCCTTAAGTTTTGAGACTATTTGGGTTCTGTTGGTTTTGTCCTTTCTTTTATGACCACCAATTAATTCTCTTACAAAAGTATTCTTCTCTATCTACTTCTTAGGACCCAAAACAGGGACTTGGAGAGGAAGTAATATTCTGATATTACTTACTAACTTAGTGGAATGGCAGCTTTATATGGGGTGTGCTTCTTTTCTTGATTCCTCATTGGGCATTTATTTGTACTGTACTAGTTTGTTGCTCATGCTTTCCTTGTCAACTGATTATTTTCTAGTTAGAGGGCCTTTCAGATATGCCCTAAGGAATAACAAGAATACCATTTATATCTGACCATGTTGTGTTGTAGCTCTTAGCTTATACCATTTACTGTTATCTAATGTCTTCTTTCATTTTGTGTATTGACCATACCTTTGTTTTCCTAGGTGTTTATGTGTGGGATGTTGAAGGTAGAAAGTATTTTGACTTTCTGAGTGCTTACAGTGCTGTTAATCAAGGCCACTGTCACCCAAAGATCGTGAACGCTCTGAAAGCTCAGTCTGAAAAACTGACCCTTACGTCCAGAGCATTCTACAATGATGTACTTGGTGAATACGAGGAGTTTGTCACTAAAATGTTCAATTATAACAAAGTCCTTCCAATGAACACAGGTAAATAAAGAATTTTATTTCCATTTTATTTCTTGTCTGTGAGATTCAACAGTTTTGTAACATTTGGTACTGCATCAATGGCCTGTCTCATATACAAGTGTGATAATGGTGTTGCTTTATGTTTTAGGAGTGGAAGCTGGAGAAACTGCCTGTAAGTTGGCTCGGAAATGGGCATACACTGTGAAAGGAATTCCAAAATACAAAGCAAAAATTATTTTTGCAGGTATGTAAAGTGTATGTTATGAGTTGAGGTATTGAGGAGGAAGAGAGCTCTAGACACTAGCTGTAGCACTCTTCTCCTATAGCTGTAGTGATCACTGCAGTATTCTTAATGTTTAATTTCTTCACTGAAGCAAGTCTGTTGAAAGTCTCTCTAACCTCTGACATTTTAATAATGTAAGCTAAGATCTCAATCTATTAACAGGTTATGTTGTATTTGTATCTGCAGTTGGTGATTCTGATAAAACCTACTGTTGTGGCTACAACAGTCTTTGCAGGACCTTAAGGTCTCTCTAAGTGCCTTCTTCTAAATTGTGAAGTTCAGTCTTAAATATATGCTGTTGATACAATATTCTGTGTGTGCTTCTGGCTGTTTGATTTTAACCTTAAATTGTTACAATGGATTATAAACATTTTAAAAAATGTAATGTCCTTTAAGAAATGCATATGATCTTAACAGAAGTGATTGTAAAAGCAAGAGATATGAATATGTATTCCTATGACAAATTAATTTCAGATCCTCTCCCTTGTGGGGGGTGTATGCATCAAGAGGCAATGAGGATAGTTGTGCTTTGCCAGGAGCTGCTGGTGACGTCTGTTTTTGCAAGGGAAACGCAACCACGAACTTAAATCTGGGAAGGAAACCATAGTTAATAAAGTGGCTTATAAAGCTTTATAAACAGCAATTGAAAATATAAAGTGGACCTTATTTGTACTACTTATCCTTTTTAGTTGTCAAAAATTGGCAGTGACTGAGTCCTCCATGATCTTTTAACTGCTACTTGGGTTTTAAAGTACAGTATCTTTTTATTCCTAATTGGTTGATTTTTATATACCTTTCTCTTGAATTCATTCCTCTAATTACTGCCACCCCTCTCATTGATTCCACATTTGGGTTAAGCCTGCTTCCCTC